GAGAGAACTAAAATAGTTCTCCTAGGTTGTTATAGGACAAGTAATTTCCCCTTGTTTTTTTTATGGCCTGGTCTATAACTTGTTTGAATTTTCAAAATTTTCCAGATTTTCAGCCAAATGGACAGAATCCAATATCATGTACAGACAAAGGAATAACTTTACAATATAAAGCCAATGGCACGGATCTTGTGCATTTTTCTCCTCCAAGACGTTTAAGAACTGACGAGATCCCACAAATCGTCAATGATTTCAGACTCGCCGCAAGAAATGCTATAGAAGCTGGTAAACATATTAAGGCTATATTTGGTAGCCAGATAAGCTAGCTTACAACTTATTTGGTTAGCTTATAAGCTTCATATATCCAAATAAGTTTTGTTTGAGTAGCTTTTCAAATAAGCTCGTTGAAATTTTTATTCAGCCAAACACTTTTATCATATACGTTAGCTTTTATAAGATATAATCTGGAAAATCACTTATCAGCTATCACAACCAATTTTACCAAACATAGTCTGATATCATCAACTACTTTTCTTGATTCTCCCAGGTTTTGACGGGGTCGAGATCCACGGGGCCAACGCCTACCTAATCGACCAGTTTCTCAAGGACCAAGTCAATGACCGTACGGACCAATACGGAGGATCGCTCGAGAACCGTTGCCGGTTTGCGCTCGAAATACTCGACGCCGTGACTAACGAAATCGGGTCCCACAGAGTCGGAATTAGGCTATCTCCTTTCACGGACTTCATGGAGTGTGTCGATTCGAACCCTAGTGCTCTCGGGCTTTACATGGCCCATGCACTAAACAAATACAATCTTCTTTATTGCCATGCAGTCGAGCCGCGAATCGCAAGTGACGAGGAAAAATCACCGAGCCTTGTCCCTATGCTGAAGGCTTTTAAAGGCACGTTGATTGCGGCCGGAGGTTTCGATCGTGAGGATGGGAATAAGGCCGTGGCTGAAGATCGTGCGGATTTAGTTGCATTTGGCCGGTTTTTTTTGGCGAATCCTGATTTGCCGAAAAGGTTTGAGATCAATGCCGGGCTTAATAAATACGATAGGGAGACTTTTTACACGGCTGATCCGGTTGTTGGGTATACCGATTACCCATTTCTTGAACAAATCGCGTGATTATTTAGTTTTTTTCCATGGGAGGGGGAAGAAAGGTTTTTATCTTCCCCACTGTTTTTTATTCTAATGATTTGAAGAATAATGAGTAATGTAATGTAATGCGCATTTTGCAGTGTAATCCAAATTGCAGATTCAAGTGATGTCAAGTAGAAGGAATTCCCTCTTTATCAGCATATGCTAAGTTAATCTCATGAAAACAGCGAACACAAAATGAAGTTGAAAATTAAATGAATCTCATTCAGTGACTTTTATTCTCAATTTTTGGCAAGTGTTTTTTTGTAATCCGAGGGCCCTTTATTGTGTTTTAATTGATATAGAAACAGTAAAATGATGATTGGAATATAATTTATTGTTAAAAGTATACGACTAGGCAATTGGTGAAATTAGAAAAATATGTAATATTGATTAACTGACTTGAATAAATTTGTGAAAGGTGATATTATAATGAAGTGAATTTTGTATCTTACGACAGTTTTACATAAAATAAAAATAAAATAAAAAAATTATATTGATAAAGAATTTCGTGTTATTATGCAACTTTGTCTCACATTTTCTCATTACTAATTTGGACAAGGTCAGTGACTCAGTAAAATCACCAACAAATTGTTAATTACATCACTTCTCATGGATAAATAACTACATAAGTCGAGTCAACTCGTTATTGTTAGTATCTAAATTGAATCTTAACGAGTCGGTTTATGAAAAAATATATAAATATTTTTATTTTTAAAGCTTAATTAACTTTAATGAAACGAGCCAAGTCGAACTATTGGTTAAGAAATATAAAGGAATTTTGAATAGAAATCGGGTTAGGGTTTTCAGTCTTAGTAATTTGGGAAAATTGGGGCTAATGTAATTCTAGGTCGTCTCTCTCTCTCCTCCCTGCTCTCACCTTCCCCACCTAAAGTCTGATTTGCTAACATCCGACTGGGTTTTGAGTAAAAGGGTTCAAGCTACGGCATTCCCCAGCTCGGCGTCATGTCTTCAACCTTGGAAATTGAGGCCAGAGAGTAAGTTTTGTTTGTCCATCTAATTACATAATATCTGTATGCCCACATGCTCGTATTAGAGTTAATAACAAAGCACGACCTGCATTATCGCTTTCGTTCTGAACTAAAATCGAGAGAGCACGAAAAGCTCCGGACTTTCTGAAAGACTCTAGCTTTAAGAGTACAAGTTTCCTAATCATGTAAATGCTACCCTTTTATACCATTTTTGTGAATGATTTTTGGTTTTAGTGTGTATCATATGTTATGCTTGCAGTGTGATCAAGATTGTACTTCAGTTCTGCAAAGAGAACTCGCTGCATCAAACTTTCCAAACACTGCAAAACGAGTGCCAGGTTTCTCTAAATACTGTAGACAGCCTTGAAACGTTTGTTGCTGATATTAATAGTGGAAGGTGGGATGCAATTTTACCTCAACTCGCGCAACTCAAGCTTCCTCGAAAGAAATTAGAAGACCTGTATGAGCAGGTAGGCCAATGCTTCTCTGTATTTTTTTTTTTTTATTATTATTATTATTATTTTTGTTTTTTTTTTTTTTTTTCTTTTTTCTGTGTATAGATTGTTTTGGAAATGATTGAACTTCGGGAGATTGACACAGCACGCGCTATATTAAGACAAACCCAGGTGATGGGTGTCATGAAACAGGAGCAACCAGAGCGGTATTTAAGACTTGAGCATCTACTCGTTCGGACGTACTTTGACCCGAATGAGGTGAGGTGTTCACTTCTTCATTCTGGAGGCTTTCCAAATCTATTTCAGGCCTTGGAATTTCATCTGGTTTATTCGATATGTATGCTACTACAATCTAATTTGCATTTGGGTCATGTAATTTTATTCAGTTACTTGAAGACCCTGGAATTAAATTATTATCAGCATAGGTTCCATTTTGTAACTGTACTTATTACATAAGGTCCTCTACTGATTAATTTTTTGTTCATCAACCTTTCAATAATCCCACTACCATGATACATTGATTCCTATGGAATCAAAATGATTTTTTGAGTTATAACCTTCTACAGTTCTTCCGTAATGGGTTGTGGAGTGATGTATTTTACGTCGTGTGCAGGTGTATCAAGACTCAACAAAAGAAAGGAGACGTGCTCAAATTGCGCAAGGTTTTTCCTTGATATATTTTGTTTTCTTAATTGGCATTTTCCACAACTTTACCTGAGGTAAAGTCATAATCATCGCAATTGATGGAGAACTTAGTAGCACAACACTATTTCACTGTTATTGGATTTCGGGATGGCGTTAGGTTTCTGTACATGTTTAACTCTTTCACTTTCCCTCCCTGGTATTTCCTTTATGTATGTGCTCTCACGTGCAATCTTCAACTTTATTTTCAGCTGTTGCAGCTGAAGTTTCGGTGGTTCCACCTTCACGATTAATGGCTTTGATCGGTCAAGCTCTGAAGTGGCAGCAGCATCAAGGTCTCATAAGATTTACAAATACACCTGCCATCACATTTTTCAAAATGCTCGTCATAAGAAGTTCTGAAGTTTTTACATATACGAGGAAATGTCAGACATGATCGTATGTGTCTTATGTTCTCATTTGTTTGCGCTCAGGTTTATTACCACCTGGAACACAATTCGATTTGTTCAGAGGAACGGCAGCCATGAAACAAGACGTAGAAGATATGTACCCAACAAATCTTGGACACACTATAAAGGTAAGTCAGTACATATAAGTTTGCATCTGGATACCGACTTCATATTTTATTTGTATCTCATGTAACATGCTCTAATATTATTTGTTTCTCACGTAGTTGTTTTGCTCATTTAGTGTTAAATTCCTGTTGCAAGTTGTTTTACTATTGCCCCATTTTAATTGTGTGATTGGCTTTTTGGCCTTCACCACTACTGAACTTCTCCATTTTCATGATATTCATTTTGAGGCTTTGTGCTTCACTTGCTTGCTAGTATGCCTCTTACTAAACAGAAACAACAGTATTTACCTATGAACTGTTGTGTTATTTCTGTCTTCTAGTCTGTTGTAATGTCTCTGTTACCATATATCCCATTGTACCTTGACTGCAGTGGTTCTTTTCTGTAGTTTGGGAAGAATAGTCATCCTGAATGTGCTCGGTTTTCTCCAGATGGGCAATTCCTTGTTTCTTGTTCAGTTGATGGATTTGTCGAGGTAATTTTTAGTGAATTATCTCCTTTTGTAATACTGTTTGATTTAAGCTATGGGTGGATAATCTTGGTACGCTATAGGTGTGGGATCATATAAGTGGAAAATTAAAGAAGGATCTGCAATACCAGGCTGATGTAAGTTGCTTATTATCTTTGTCTTTGCATTATTTTATTCTTACAAAATTTCAGATTAGTTTGTTACTCTTTTTGCATGGCATGGAAGAAGGATATGGTTTACCTGCATTTTGGTTAAGTATTTAAATTTTGTGTATGTTCTGTTCCTCTCACAGTATTTGTCCTTTACCTTATCTTATGATTTACCTTTCTTTAACAATCTTATACTAATAATCCGGAAAAATATTATAACCCAAATTCACGAAATTTTTCATGGAGGCGAGCCTTAAACTACACATTTGGTTCATAATTGTGTTTCTGTGCACTAAACGGTGAGAAACTTGGCAGGAAACATTTATGATGCATGATGAGGCTGTCCTCTGTGTTGACTTTAGTCGAGACTCTGAGATGCTTGCTTCTGGATCACAAGATGGGAAAATAAAGGTTTGGTTTATTTGAGGTCTAATCCTCTTTTGATGTATAATTACCTGTTTATTATAAGTTACACATAGAGTAGGACAAAAGAAAAAGAGAAACTCAACTTGTTTCAAAGGATAATGGGAAAGAAAAAATATTTGCAGTTCAAATGCTGATAAAATTGCAGGCTACAGTTGTGTTCTTCTTTGATGGCCCTGAAAATATCATTTGTGGTTTTGACTTGCAAGTAATTAATAAAAAATTAATATTAATTTTCTATATCTGTACAGGTTTGGCGTATTCGAACGGGTCAGTGTCTGCGGCGTCTCGAACGTGCTCATTCTGAAGGTGTCACTAGTGTCAGCTTCTCTCGAGATGGGACCCAATTGTTAAGTACATCATTTGACAGCACTGCAAGGTTTGTCCGAATTTATGAACACTGACAACAAAAAAGCTCCTCGATTCATAAGTCTTTTTTTTTTCTTTTTAATTTTTAATTTTCAGTTTTTGTTTATTTTTCATATTTTGGCAGAATTCATGGCTTGAAGTCAGGTAAGATGCTGAAGGAATTTCGTGGCCATTCATCTTATGTTAATGATGCCATATTTACTGCTGATGGCGCACGTGTCATAACTGCATCTAGTGATTGCACGGTTAAAGTAAGTTACCTTTGTTTGTTATCTATCACTCAGAGGCAAATTTTAGACACCCGTTAAACTTTTTCTGGTTGTGATGTGTTAATAATTCAGGTTTGGGATTTGAAGACCACAGATTGTGTGCAAACGATCAAACCTCCACCTCCTTTGAGGGTAGTTTCCTTTTGTTTTCTGGCATCACTCATTTTACCCCCTCTAATTTTTTGTACATTTTTCTAAAACATTTTTCTTCGCCATTTATCATATGCAACTTTTTAGCCAATCTCTTGCTTTATATGATGCAGGGAGGTGATGCATCTGTTAATTCTGTTCATCTTTTCCCTAAAAATGCCGATCATATAGTCGTTTGCAACAAGACTTCGTCTATATACATAATGACCCTCCAAGGGCAGGTAAATCCAATACGCCTTTCATTAGTAGTTAAAAAAAAATGCCCAATAGAAAGAAAAAAAGAGAAAGGGAAAAGAAAGAGGAAGTTTATAGAGTAGCTTGGAGACTTTGATCAACTGGGTCTTAAAGATTTATTGCCATGTATAGCATATTTCACGGAAAATGGGTGTTGCTGTTCATATGCTTTCTTTTTATTTAGTTACTTATTTTCTCTTTTTTCATCTGATTTATTTATCTATTTTATTTTTGTGAAGGTTGTGAAAAGTTTCTCATCCGGTAAGAGAGAAGGTGGAGATTTTATGGCAGCTTGTGTTTCGCCGAAAGGGGAATGGATTTACTGCGTTGGTGAGGACAGGTATTTTCTCTTTTCTTGCACATAATAGAACAGTAATATATTAATTCATGTTAGTATACATTTTTTTTTTCCATTTTGATACTTTTTTTTATTTTAATCTCTTATGAGCAATAACAGCAATAGCTTCATATACACCCTCTTCTGATGATTGATTCTAAAGGCTTCTCCTGCTACCATTTTTATTTTTATTTTTATTTATTTTTTTAAATGTTATCATAGAAAGTGTGTGTAACAATAATTTATTCAATTATATGCAGAAATTTGTACTGCTTTAGTTATCAGTCTGGCAAGCTTGAGCATCTAATGAAGGTAACAATATATGCTTGAATTGTTGTAATCTCTTCTTCTGGCCTATATAACCCCCCCAGGCTTTCTGCTAATTGCAAGATAACTACACCAGTTTCTGAAAATTACAGGAACTCTTGACATTTTTATAGAAAAACATTGCAGTTACCCCCTTAAATTTAAGAAAAGTCAAATTTCAAGTTTCATTTTGATTTTCTTTTATTTCCTTTTTCTCATCTTGCTATGTGTAGAAACCTATGGGCTTTCTTCACTGTAATTAGACCAAGTATCAGGGTGTCTTCAGATTATCAATATTTTCTGTAATTTTCTGCTTGTTCCATGGTGGATCCTCTATTCTAATTTATATAAATTTTTGAAATTTTTAAAATTGATAAAAATAAAATAAATTTAATTTTCTTGTATTGACAGGTACACGAGAAGGATGTGATTGGACTCGCTCACCATCCCCATATAAACCTCGTCACCACTTATGGCGAAGACTGCACAATGAAATTATGGAAGCCTTAAAAGCTCTAAATTTAATACTGCAATTTTTCTTTCTTATAACTACAATGAGCAGCATTTCTTGTAGATCTTAAGAATATTGTATCTTTTTAAGCATAAGAAACAAAATGATATTGCTCTTTTCATTTATACATCGTTTGCCAGATAGTGTTGTTTAATGAAACAAGTTGCTCGTGAATTTTATCCTACTTTGCTCTTTAAGACTTGCGCTCGTTTAGTTAACGAGCTAAGCTTGGCTCAACTCATTAAGGCCTAAGAATAAAGTTTTTTCTGTGATTTTTTTTTTTTAAGAAAATATTTTACCTTAGCTTGATTCGTTAAGACTCGAGTTCATTTATCAAAACAAGCTCTGCTAGATAAAGGTTCGAGCCTCAACTCGGGTATTAGAAGCTTTGTTCGGCTCGTTTACCACTTTTCCAAATAATAATTCTCCTAAACCTCTTTTTCTTTTTCCTTTTTTTTTAATCTTTTGGGGTTTTGGAAATTGTTGGATTTTATGACAGTAGAGTTAATGCATGCTTATCTGTCTCAACTGTGTGCCATGGCCATGCAAATATTCAGTGAAATGTGAATTTGATCTAACAAAGTCAAACAAATTTCTATCTTTTGTGTAAGTTTTTATGGGGAAGGAGATTCTGTTCAACTGTTGGAGTATATAATCGAATTTAAGGCTAACTGTTTAGAATATATAATTGAATTTAATGCGGATGAAAAATTGAAAATGAAATGACAATGAACTCAATTGGACCGCCCACAACAGCCAATCACCTTTCACTAATATTTTCCATTTCTTTTGTACTCCCTCCATTTTGAAATATAAGACATTTAAGGTTATTGCACAAATATTAAGGAGACATTAATTAATGAATAAATTGACTAAATTAACCTTATTTACTCTAATCACAACCACTCCACACTTCATTAATTTCAACACAATGAGGGTATATTTGAAAAAAAATGCAAAAATTTGTCTTGATTTTTGAGCGCGCCTTATATTTCAAAAAAAATGAGAAATCTTTATACGCCTTATATTTCAAAATAGAGGGAGTATTTTCTAAAAGTCTGAAATATATCCATTTGTTTAATTTTCTTGTTAAGTACAATTAAGCTAACATTTCAACAAATTGCAAGTCCAAAATGAATAAATGAACATTATCATTATTATTATTATTTTTTTCCAACGATATTTAATCTCCATTAATAGAACCCCAAAAGGGTAATATACAAGAGGGAATCCCTCAATCCTGGGTATCTGAGAGGGTAAGCCAACATGCTCCCTAACCGAGTCTAAATACAGATTATCAAAACATCAAATAATATGAAACCTCCAACCATCACTAGACTACAACTTATAATTCAAAACATTAACTTTAACAACCAACACTGCAGTTTAATTTACATTTTGTGCTAATAATCCATGAAAATATCACTTTTAACAATTTTAATTGGCTTGTTTTGGATAAAACTGGCGAAAAATAAAAGTTATTATACTAAATTTCAATTCTGAAAAATAAAAAATAGTGAATAAAATTGGAATACAATTAATACTAGTGGACTGAAATTATATTTTTCCCATTTTATTAAATTGGAGTGAAATTATTCAAAATGATACACAATCAGAAAAGGAAAGAAAAATGACTTGAGCCAATTCCAACTTTTCCCCCGTTTCCATTTGCATTTGACTTTCTTCTCCAATTTACTACGTTTAAAAAAAAAAAGCAGGCACAGAAAATAATTGCATGTATTTACTGCAAGAATCACCATACAGGTGAGTGGTGACCACAATTACTCTGCCTCCAACCACTATTTTTCCTCTGCCTATTTAAAACCTTCTGCCACCCTACAAAACATACACTCAGTTCACCATATTTTCACACACTAGAAAAAAAACATACATTACAAAAAAAAAAAATGGCCCATGAAAAGTTGTTCTTGAATTTCAAGAGGGTTCTTCTGGTTTTCATGGTGTTGAGTGCCAAAAATGTAGTCTTCACAAGGTGCCAAGAAGATGATAATGGTGATGGAGTTAGTAGCAAAAATGCATTAGTGCCAGCCATGTTTGTTTTTGGGGACTCTTTGATTGACAATGGCAATAACAACAATTTACCCTCATTTGCAAAGGCCAATTATTTCCCTTATGGCATTGATTTTAAGAGTGGCCCAACTGGGAGGTTCTGTAATGGCTACACAATGGTTGACACAATTGGTACACACTCTCTTCTTACACATTAATAATTCAAGTTTTCACCTTTTTTGTTTTTTCTTGTGAGAAAAGGAAATCCCATTTTAGGGATTCTTGAAAAAAAAAAAACACCCTGAAGTTTGGAAAATTTAAAAAAATCCTCTATTTTTCAAAGCTAGTTTTAGTGTTTAATGTTTGTATATTTTTTATTTCCAAAACAGCTGAGTTGCTTGGGCTACCATTGATTCCTGCATATTCTGAGGTCTCGGGTGACCAAATGAGATATGGGGTTAATTATGCATCTGCTGCTGCTGGCATTCTTGATGATACTGGCAGAAATTTTGTGAGTGTTTATATTATAACAAAATTTTAGTTTATTACAATTATTAAATATGTAGGAGATATAACTTTGGGGTGATTTTATAATTTTGGATAAATGATTGGTCCTAGTGAAGTTTTTGCAAGTCTATCTTTTGTTCTGTTTATGAATGTTCCCATGCATCATCAATTGCATGAGAATCTCTATAGGGACTGAATTTAATTTTACCATAATAATTCAAATTTCTCCATTTATTCATGAAAAGTTATTTCATGCAAGACATTAGACATCATTTTTCTCAAAAGACAATCCAATATTATGTCCAGGTTAGCCGAATCCCGTTCAACCAGCAGATCAAGAATTTCGAGAGCACGCTCGACCAAATTAAGGACACGCTTAACGTGTCCGATTTAGCACAGGCTTTATCCAAATGCATTTTCTTCGTTGGAATGGGAAGCAATGACTATCTCAACAACTACCTAATCCCGAATTACGACACAAAGAATCAGTACAATGCTCAACAATATGCCGATCTTTTGGCTCAACAGTACTCCCAACAACTCACCGTAAGATATTACGGTTAATAACAAAGTGGTCCCTATAGATTGCATATTTTGCTTAGATGTTGTTTAAATATTCGTTTGTTTTTGGCAGAGGTTGTACAATCTTGGAGCTAGGAAATTTGTGATAGCTGGTATTGGGCTCATGGGTTGTATTCCAAGCATATTAGCTCAGAGTAATAATGGCATTTGCTCGGAGCAAGTGAACAAGCTCGTTCTCCCTTTCAATACAAACACGAAGGCCATGATCAATAACCTTAGTACAAATCTCCCGAGCACGAGTTTTTCTTACATCGACATTCGGAAAATGTTCCAAGATCTCCTTGCTAATGCCGGATCATACGGTATAGTTTCTTTTTTTTTTCTTTTTTCTTTTTTACTATAACTATTTGAAACATTTTATTGTTTGAAAGTGAATTAAAATTATTTTGCAGGGTTTGATGTGATAAATCGAGGTTGTTGTGGTATTGGGAGAAATAGTGGGGAAATAACTTGCCTTCCGTTTCAAACTCCGTGTACGGATCGAAACGGGTATATCTTTTGGGACGCTTTTCACCCGACAGAGGCCGTGAATATCATGTTTGGCAAGAGTGCTTTTAGTGGTAGCAATGATGTTGTTTATCCCATGAACATAGAGCAACTTGCCAATCTTTGAACTCTTTTGTCCAAACAGTCCCTTGTCTTGCTTCTGTTTATGTCAAAACGTGTGTTCTCTGTAGACTTTGTTATGTTTTGGGAGGAGAATTGGATGAAAGATTTGATTGATCAAAGAATGAGCATTTGGCTGTTGGTTTTTAACTTTTTATGTTTGCTTAGAGTCGTGTTAAAATGTTGTATGAGTTGCTAATACAGCTAAATTGAACAAAGCAAAACAAAACAAAACTCCAATGTTTGAAGGCCCAAACATATGGGCTGTGATTGGAATATATATAGCTTAGATTAAAGCCCACATTGTAGAGAAAATCCAAAGCCCATAACATTTTGGTCACATTCTGTATATTAATAGTTGCATGATATAGTGCAGTGGGGAACTTATAAAGAAGTCATCATCTCAACTCAATTTAGTGACTCTGATAAATAGAAAAATAAAATAAAAATAAAATAAAATAATGGTCAATGGAACTGAAGCTCCGCCAATATTCTCTTCCCACTGCTATCTTCAATTCATCTGTCAAACATTTCACTTCACTTGCTCAGGTGAATTTTTGTTTTTCTGTAATAAATTTGTTCTTTTTATTTTTTTTCGAAGATAGTGGAACCACTGTGTGTGTGTGTGTGTTTTATTCCGTACTTTTCACAGATGTATGCATTTAGTTATTTGCAGGCCAGCAGATGGATTGTAGAATGATTTACTGAATGTTATTAGTGAAAAACCATGATAATTTTTTTTTTCTTTTATTTTTTTTGGCACAGCAATGGAAGCTTGGTATTCAGAGGATACATTGCAAGGGCCAAAATATGAGCAAGAAACTATTGGTTCACGTGGTTAAGGAGTAATCTACTAATCTGATTTAAACAAAACCCTTTTTTTCTTTTGTACTTATTAAGTTTAAATTTGTTTAATATTGACTAGAATTGTTGTGGTGAAAAAACTGGAAAAAGAAAGGAAAAGAACAAAAAAAAAAGGATTTTTTTGTGCTTTTTGGAAGTTTCCAGCCAGCCTGTACTAGCTTGTTTTTAATTTTTTCTATGTTTGGCTTGTAGCATACAACAAAACCAGATCATTGCTGTGGCATCACCTGGACGAGTAGCTCTTGTTGTAAGCTCGTTTATCTGCTCGAAACCAACTGAGTTTTGATTCTGTCTATTAAATATAAGGTATAACTGTAATGTATATACACACATATAAGGAGTTTAATTTCTATGTTTATCATCATCAGGCTAAGACCACTTGTTCGTTTCTGGTTTTGGTTCCTCTGCTCGTCTTGTGCATCAGATGTATAATCTTCGCCTTTCAAAATATAGTATCGGCAAAATTGAGATATCGAGCTTTGAATAAATTGGGAGCACGTCAAAGTAGGTCTAATAGCATGAGATGGAAAGCTGTTCTTGATGACTCGATTGACGCACAACCTGACCCAGATTCTGATGTAAGTATAAATTTCGATTATCCAATCATCTTCTTTTAGTTCTTTGTATGTTCTTTTGATTTTTTTTTCAGTATATGTCCTATTCATGTGATGCTCTTTTGAGTTGTTGAAACTTGTATTTTTTTTGTTCATGTGATGCTCTTTTGGAGGATGTGGAACGATTGCAGTACAAAGAGATAGCTCACGATACTCGTGCTTATACCAAGCTTGAAGATGAATATAAGGAGTTCCTATCTCAATGTGAAAAAATGTGCAGAGAAATAGTGTTTCATTCTGAAAAAAAAAAAGAAAAAAAAAAGATATCAGCTTTGAATATTCATGTGTAATGGAAGACAGTCCTGCCTGGTGATGGTTCTATCTTTAATTCTTNACTCAACCAACTCTACGTTGTTTCTTTTCCTGGCCCAATCCAAGTGATTTCTGTGCATCGGCTATGCCATCTGGATCTGCTTGAGCAAACAACACTCATTAGGATTTAAAGCAGAATAAAGAACTATAGTTTTGAGTAAAGGAGATCTTACACACATATAGTTCGTTTTAGTGGTTAATTAGAAATCCCCCAATAAAGATGAAAAATTAGGAGTTATTTGTAATTGATAAAGTAGAGAGCATAATTATTCTCCCATATCTGCTTATCAATCAATTGTTCCTTTCATTAATTGGCTGCTAATTATATTCAACATTAGCTCTATTTGTAATATTTAGAAAAGTTGGAAGGAAATAATAGTACAAAACTTGATGCCATTAGCGATTTTTATTCGCTCAACTCACGGCAATATAAAATATGTAAGTGGATGTGGATGCAGCCTCAAGGGTAGTTTTTGTAAATTTTTGACATTAGGCTCTCCTTTTTCTTTCTTGGTAACTTTACCAATTCTTGTGTGAGGCAGCTAACTGTTAGGAAAGTTTGACCGGTCTAACTTTTTTTAAACAAAAATGCATATTTATACTGAGAAATGCCATACTCCTGATTTGTATGAAAGTGCATATTCATTAAAGAAGTAGAATTGCCTAATGATTTGTATCAACCAAATGATGCGGCACACTAAAACGGCCGAACCCAATAAGAACGCAACAAAAAGAAGACAAGCACGGCACACGACATCACAAAATGAGGGATTGCAAACTCACCAAAGAACTGTGTGAAGATCCTCGTGAAGAATCTCAAATTGCGCTCGGCATAGTACGCCATTGCAGGTGGAAGAGGTTTGACAATCGTATCAATGCTAAACACACGTTCAAGAAACTACAGAAAACATGGAAAAGAACAACATTACTGATTTCATTGTAATTACTTTCTATTAGCATGGCAAGTTCGGGCAACATCCACACCAGGAGTATATCATTTTAACAGAAAGATAAGTATACAGTTGATCTATCGAGGGACGGTAGTTCAGTAGAAATTTATCAATGCCAAAAGTAGTGGGAGTGTTTAGAAATTTGCCGACCTATAAAAAACTACTTGCTTTAGACATTATTCATTCACCCGTATACTGATTTACATCCACACCACTCCAAATTCACTAGAGATGTAAATAGAAACATACAAGAAAAGGAGGAACAATTTTTGATAGTATTCAAACTTCAAAGCAGTTCACAAATATCACAAGAGTATATATATAATAGTCTAGATTAACCACAGAAGAAGTACCAAGTGTGCCACACGCCCCAAAGATTGCACCTTTTTTCCACTAAAGTACAAGGAGTCCTAATTTTTTATTCGATTAACATTAACCACATGAACCAAAATCATAACTTTCAATCAGAAGGACCGACTCAACCACACCCGAAAGCATGAACTTGTTGAAAAATTAATTTATGCAAACTTCAAAGGAACAATGTTTCACAGTATGCAAACTTCAAAATCACAAAAAGGAACAATGTTTCGCACTGTATTCAAACTTCACAAGAAGATCCCAGATATCCCAAGAACATATACTCTAGATTAACAGACAGAAGCAGTACCAAGATGTACCACATGCCCCAAAGATTGTACCTTTTTTCCCCTAAAGTACAAGTAATCCTAATTTTTACTTCGATAATCACAGGAAACCTAAAATCAAAACTTTCAGCCAGAAGAGCTGATTCAAACCCAAACCCAAACCCAAAAGAATAAATTAGTTGAAAACCTTATAAAAATAAAGCTCAATTCAAAATAATAGCTCCTAATTCACCTGGACATTGCGCTGGAAGCTGTAGCGAAGCTCGGGGTCGATTTCGGTCAGGGGATCTTCTCCAACATCGTCGTTATTGGATTTGTACTTCTTCTTGCCCGGGACATGCATCTTGGATGTTGTACCGGGCTGTGACGTCACCTTCATACTCGCGTCTTTGAATTTATCGCCGTTCTCTTGTGGTTCCACCCTCCATGGCGCCGACGCGAGCAGCTCTTTCTTGGTTTTCGCCATTGTTAGGGGTTTTATTCAAGGTCTTCTGTTTTGTGTTACGCAGGGTAGAATGAGGGAAGAGGAAGAGGAAGAGGATAAAAGAACGAACCTTTGTGGATAGAGCGTACCTTTTACGATGTCGTATACTCGTATGTTATCATTATCTACTTTTCTCCATATATGCAAATCGGCCCCTCATTTCTTTCAAAAATAAAGAACCTACCTTAAATTGCTTTGTAGCTCCAATCAATTTTTGGAGCTAAATTAGAGGCTAATCCTTTATAATTTCTAATTTCATGTTTGGTGAGTATGGATTCAAAATATATTTTATCAGAAAAAAACTAATTGTGGAAAAGAATAAATATAAAAGTTATTTGGAACATGGTTATGAAATAAGTTGTTTTACATATATATTAAACAACCAAATATTTGTCTAACATATAATTTGCTAATTAAATAAGTCAAATATGCTAATTCAAAATATCCAACCTTTCCTCATTATTTCATTACATGACAATTAGAGCAACAAAAACTTAAAAGAAAACTTTCTTGGATTCCTTACCTGTATCATCAAGTATGAAAAGAAAAACAGAGTTTTTCTCATGTTGTAGTTCATATTCCTCCCCAAGTGAGAGAGAGCCTTTCAAGAACCTTGTGTTCCAATTATTCCAATCTTCTATATTTCAGTAGCACTCATGAAAAATGAGTCCATTTTGTAATCATACAAATGATAGATCATAAACAAATGAATAATGAAATCATCACCCCTTAACCCTTTCAACTAACAACCAGCACCCATACCAGCTCATGACTTCTCAAAACAATTCAAAAACCTTAACATAACCCATCAAAANAAATGCCTCTCTTACGGGCAAAAAGGCCGGCCAGAACGAGCCCTATAACTCGGTATCGTAAAATGCCTTATCCTCCCTTCTTCCTCCCTTAAGTACCCTTCACACAACAATGCCTTTGAAAACCTATCCTCGACCACCCTATCCACGTCGTGCACGAAAACATCCGTTTCCCCACTTTCCCGATTCCTTGCCATTAGCCCGGCCGTGTAGATAGCGCTCATTCTCCCGGGCGCCTCGTCAAAGTACCCAGTCGGGGCATCTACCATGATTAAGTCCCACTCCACCTCGTAAATCTCGTTCGGGAAGCTCTTTAAGGCGAGCGGGCACTTGGAAACTCGCGGGTCCTTCACCTCTCTGCAATCGTCCCTTGTGCTCGTCTCGAGGAGCTCTTCGGCTTGCGTTCGCTTTGTGTTGTACACGACGTGGTGCGACTCGAGGGATGGGACCTTCTTTTTGATTTGCTCGATCCACGACTTGTCCTCTTCTAGGAACACGGTTCGGCCATTGTGGTTGAGGGAGGCCCACATGAGGCTGTCGTGGCCCAGCCCGAAGACTAGAAAGTTGCACGGCGATTTTTGCTCGAGGATTTTGAGAGAGACCGAGATTTCGTTGAGGGTTTGTTGTGGGGTGATGTTTTGGGTCGCGTAGTGGACAAGCGCGTTTGCTAGGGAAGGTGGGAGTTTGGTGCATGTTGGGGTTAGGTTAAGGGGATCAGTCGGGGAAATTGGGAAGTTCTGTTGTTCTTGTTGTTCTTGTTGCTGTTGTTGTTGTTGCAGGGAATTTGATTGTGAGATTATTGAGGGCTTTTGTTGGGGTGAGTTTGGGGAGGTTGATCTTAGGATCAAGAAAAGGAGGAAGAGGAAAAAGGAACATATTAAGATGGTTTTGGGGTTGATGGGGAATTGTGATTTGGATTTCATGTTTGGTTCTTGAAAATGGAGTTGAAAATGAAAAAAAAAATGATAAAAAGATGTGTGTCTAGCTAGTTATGTTCAATGGGAAGATATGAAGAGGGACTACTTTGATAAGTTTATAGAGGGAAAAAAAAATGAAAGGATTTGTTATAAGTAGTAACTGTTTATGTTGTTGTCTCTTTAAGATGAAGCAAAAGGAGTGTGAGGTTGATGGGAAATGAGAGCTAATTATGATTGTGTCGTGCAAGACATAGTTTTGAATCTTTTTAATCAATGTTTGTTGAATAATTGTTTAATAGGAAAGCTAGGTGAGGTATTAGGTGGGGTGTTCGGTGAAAATGAGATTGGAACTTTTATATTCTTTAGGACAAGTGACTTGGAAGGCATCTTTAGGTGTAACTTCAGAAACAGCTGCCTAAAATGTCTCGGCTAACTGCCTCAAGAAGTTTTAAATTTGAAAATAATAATAATAGTAATAATAATAATAATAATGATAACCATAACTGCCCAAACTATGTCATTTCTAAGCTATCGTTTTGATTTTCATAAGATTTATTTTGTTGAAGTACTCATTTTATAAGCTTTTCAACGACACTCTTATCGAAAATTAGATATATTCTCTATTCAACAAATACTTGTTTACCAAACAATCATATAAAGAGTTGATATAATCAGCTAGTTACTGATAAAAAAAAATATATAATCAGCTAGTTCATCTCATGCTAAACCCTATTGCTACCTACCTCAGTTCATGTGGACAATTTTTTTTTTTTTTTCCTTGTTTTAGAACTTTGAAACCTCAGTGGGATCTCCAGTAATTATCTGAAAATTTCAGGGGTACTTTCCCTAAACTAGCGCAAACATAGGAATTCTGCGGGTGAACCGTTCTGCGGGTTAACCGCACGGCCATCTCTACTGAGTAAAAAAATAAAGTTTCGTCTTCAATCATAAAATATTTTCTTTTTAAACAAATTATTTAATATCATAAATGTAATTTAATAAAATATATTATTTTACTCATATTTAATTATTTAAATTATTATTATATAATTAATAAAATATAAAAATATTTTATATAAATATTATATTATTTACTAAAACATGTATCAAATATTTACTAAAATATACAATTTACTAGAATATTAACTAAGATTCTATAAAAAATTCAATTTATGATGTAAGTCATTGAAAATAAATTTCTTGTGTTAATCTTGTTCGTCCAACAATTTATCACATATTTTTTCATTATAAATAAATTTGTTAATTGAATATTTGTATTAGGTTGAAAAAACATTCTGGTAAATATGTATTTAGATGGTAATATTTTAATATTAAAAAATGACAAAATAAAATTACTGTACATCACCAATATTATACAAAAGTTATGACATTCTTTTTTATCCTGTGTGAAAGATATTTTATTTTGGCATTAGTTCGTTAGTTCGAACAAGCATCTGGAACCACAGAATAAAAGGGAAGATCTTTGTATATTATGTCTCCTTTAGTAATATTGTTTATATTCCATATATAAATCCATGAGGATCTTATTACGGTTTTTATATGATAGGTATTTGCACGTGGAGAGATAAAGAAGAAGGATAAAAGAGACATGCTAGGAGAGGAGATCAATGAGAGAGAATAGAAGATTTCTTGCCATAGTTATCCTATTATCTTGGAAGGAAATCTTGAATGAAGACCTATGCCTTGTAGAAGACTCCAACCCTAAGGAGTTCATATATATACCCTAGAAGAAGCTTATGGCGGCTGGGGATCATATACTGAGAGATATTCGAGAGCCATTAAAAAAAGCTTCACTTGCTTACTGTTCTATTTTGATTGTATTTAGTACAGTCTAAGAGTTCTTACAAACTCAAGGACTGGTATTGCATTCGTTTAGTTCTTTATACATTTCATCAAAACTATTCTACGGTTTGTACACTTAGGGAGTAAGTGTAGGTTTATAAGTCCACGGGACGTGGCCGGAGGATTAGTTGATAGGATCAAGTAGTGTTGGCTAGATTTGAAGGGAGTTCGAATCGTTGTAAGTCCAAGCTATGTATGCGAGTGATCTATCAATGAAAGAGCTCTGAGGGGAAGTGGGACGCTTCCCTGAAGGGTTTATTAATCTTCGGTTATTTGCTTCCGCATTTTACAATTATTACTGTAGTTCGTACTAAGACTCGCGCACTCCATGACAAATATACGTTTCACTGTGTGTATTCTACTCCTAATTCTTCCTGGGGACAATAATATTGGGAGAGTTGGAGGAATTTCCTAGCACAATAATATTGGTAGAGTTCGAGGAATTGCTTTTAAATAATAATGGTTCGGTGTTAAATGATATTTTGAACTCCTTAAATATGATTTTTGATAATATTGGTAGAGTTCGAGGAATTGCTTTTAAATAATAATGGTTTGGTGTTAAATGATATTTTGAACTCCTTAAATATGATTTTTGATAATGAATTGAGATTATCAATTGTCTATAAGATTTTTTATAATTGATTTCTAAATTTATTTTGTACATATATTTTGTAATGTTTTTCTTACCCAAACTAGAAAAACGCTTCCAATGTTCTTACCAATAAAGTAGAAAAATGTTGCAATGTTCTTACCCAACAAAGATTAAGGAAGATTGGTTTTTTTTATAAAAAAATATATAGCTGCGTTCACAATTTTTGAAAAACTTAATCGGTTGATTATGGTTTGTTATTCAATAAATATGATTCTATTGTCATGTTGTGAAAAATATCACATAATAAATTTTTCATAATTGATTTTCAACTTTTATTTTATAATTATATTTGTAATTTTATCGTGAATATTCAAATAATATTTTTTCTTCTCAAAAAATCTATAACAAATGTGTTTTTAAAGACATGTATAGTTGGTTACCAAAAGAATAAAGAAATCCAATGATTCATAATTAATATGTGGAATCAGGTTTTTATTATGATAATTATCACAAATTAGTTTTATACCACTTTATTTATATAAAAAGTTGTACTATTAATCGAATTATACAATTTACAACAGGTCCGTATAATTTGATTTTCATTAACAAATATTAAAGTAATTTTACACTATTTTTTTTAATAGTAAATCAACCTATTTAATTACAAAGTCAAAATTACTATTTTAGAATATTCCATCAACCTCGTCAAAATTACTATTTGAGAATATTCCATCTAACCTCTCTCAGTATATATACATAGATATCTCCTTAATCTGAAGTAGTTAACCATTAGAGTGAATAAGTACAGTATTAGGTGATTTTTCCACATCAAAGATGGTCAAAAGAAGAAAGTAGCTTTATTCTATGCAATCCATCCGCATGTTTAGGCCAAAAAAACTGCAAATGGTCAAAATATTTTATGTCTGGGGATCATGTTTCAATCACGTGATCACGTCTGTTTAAAAGTTTAAAACAAAAAAAAAAAAAACTTTGCTAATGTTTTTATTACAGGATGAGATGAGAATCACCTGCAATAATAAAATATATAAAAGTCAACTGAAAGAAAGTAACAGAATTATATCTTGCTCGCAATCAAGACAAAGTGAGAGTGTGGAAAAATATAAATATAAACTTATATTACAAAATTACAATTTTCACACCAAGCTTATTTTTATTTCAGCACTACTACCCTATCTTTAATTATTAGAAGAAAAAAAAAAAATGATAAAGTGAACTCTTTTTAATTAGCTGGGCTACAGGGTACAATAACTCCTAACAACCTTACTTTCGGGATATGAAAATATCTAAAACTTATGTACTTAGTTACATTCCCAGCTATATAGTTCATTTAATCACTTTGTAGTTTTCCACATATAGATCCTGCTGTTATATGTACATGTATAATCACTCTGTAATAGTATCAAATTAAAACACGACAATAATCCCCATCATCACTACTGGTCATACTACAGTAAGTGAATATTAATCAAATAACTCTAACAATATTGGCACTTATTCTGATCATCCCCTGTTAAAATCTCAAAGCTTTCATAACAAATGCTCCAAAAACAAAGAAAATTGGTAGATAACCTCAAACACAAAACAAAGCAAAACAACACACACTATGGACAGAAAGGCCTACTACTACTACTACTACTTGCCCCGTAACTAGGAATACTAAAATGCCTTAGCCTATTCTCTTCCACCTTCTGATAACCTTCACACAAGAAAGCCATCGAGAAACTATCCTCTACATGCCGGTCCACATCGTGCACAAACACCTCCGTTTCGCCTTCCTTCCTATTCCTCGCCAAAAGCCCTGCAGTATATATAGCCTTCATCCTCCCCGGGCTTTCGGGCCAGCCCGGCATCCCGATTGGCGCATCCACCATGATCAGGTCCCACTCCGCTTCGTAAACCTCGCTCGGCAGATCCTTCAGCGCCAGCTGGCACTTCGACGATCTCGGGTCCCCCACAACCCTGCACTCGGCCCCCGACTTTTCCAGGAGGAGCTCGTCCGCCTGGCCGACCCTCGTGTCGTATGCCACGTGGCGCACCTCGAGCGATGGGGCCCGTTTTTTAACCTCGGCTATCCACTCCTTGGAATCTTCTAGAAACAGGGTGCGGCCGTTGTGGTTGAGGGTGGCCCAAAGGAGGCTGTCGTGGCCCAGCCCGAAGACCAAGAAGTTGCAGGGGGATTTGGTATGTAGGGCCCGAAGGGTGACCGAGATTTCGCCGAGGGTTTGTTGAGGGGTGGTGTTGAGGGAGGTGGCGTAGTGGACGAGGGATTCGGATACGGAGAGTGGGAGTTTGTTGCATGTGTTTGGGTTTGGGAGGTACAGGTGGCGGGTTTTGATTGGATGGAAGTCCGGTCGGGTGAGGACGTAGAGGATGAAGAGGAAGAAGAGGGATAGGGTGATGAGTTTGCGGTTGATCATGGGAGGTTGTTGTTGGTTCTTGTGATTCATGGTTGTGAAAAATTAATTTTGTGTTGTGTACTCGGAAAGTGGCTCGTTTATCGGTGGTTAGTCGAAGATTGCACTTACCAGAGATCAGTGGGTCGATCGGTCAAGAAATATAGAACTTTGTCTCTTGAGAAAATCTTTGGTTTATGTATGATTTCTGTAGTGAACGGTTTAGGATGTGGTAAGGAAAGGAGATCACGAAATGCACGTGGGAAATGTGAGAGTATCGCAATCAGTGAAGATCTGAAGATAGCGTATAATGAATCAGTAGCGAAATTCTGTGGTTAAATTAAGGGAAAGTGTCGTGATTTCCCTTTAAAATCATCGGTTTCTGTCAGGAAGTGAGGTGTAGCTTCCACATGATAAATGTATCATCAAGGATTGCATCTTGAAGCATTAAGTGCATTCCTGATTCCAGGAGATGTTACAGGCGTATAACCGCGCACGTTTAAGTCTAGTTGATTTTCCTTCGAAGTTTAGCATCAAATTTTCCTGGTTTACAGCCTGTTGAATGTTGCAAAAGCAGAGAATCACAAGACTTGGTATTAACCAGTGTTTAAGCTGCAGACAGCAGTTTCCCAGAAATTGAGAAAAACCCTGGATTTTCATACCATTATTATCAACGTCTTCATTCCAGAAAACACGCTAGCATGATTTCAGATCAGAAAAACACATGCATGAGTTCATAAACAAATACGATCGCAGCAAATGAATTGAAATCGGAGTTTGACCATTTCCAATGAACTGGCAACAACAGTAAACTATAATCAAGAGTTAAAATAAAAAGAATATCAAAATCTCTTGATGAGTTACAAAATACAACTTCTGCGTCCAACAATATCCAAACAAAACAGTTGTAGGGAAATCTTCTTATATATCTCTGTCAATACAGAACAAAAAAAATTTCAACAGCTCCGAACACAAAAGGACATTAATCATGATTCATGACATCTATATATTACATACAAAAAGATACGTATATCGATCCTCCAATCTCTCAACAATGACAAGACACCCGAGCTCAGATCAAAGCTCGAGAAGAAGANAAAAAAAAAAAAAACATTTCTCTCCCCACCACCCGACAAGAATTTCAAGAATCAACAGTCAAAATTAAAATCCAAGCTAATCCTAAAATCTATAGCCGGAATTGGACGAAGGGGGAGCAGGCGGCAAGCGGTTGGGCGTTCGGCGGCTGCTCGAGTTTGACCCATAGCTGATGTCACCATTTTGGGAAGGGTCACTGTTCCTGCGGCTATGACCGTTGGATCTCGAGTCCCCAAACGAATCTGACCGCCCGTTGGCTGCAGCATCGAACGCAGATCTCCAGTCATCCCCTGATGATGGACCAACAGCAGTCGGACTATTTTCTGCTAAATTGGATAAGAATAAATAATGTCATCCAAACTCAGAGATACAATGTAGAATAACTAGTAAGGGCAACCGAACAATAGAGTTACTGCTGAAACACGGAAAAATGGAAATCTTAGATCAAAACACTATGATCATATAGTTATATGTAAAAAATATGAATTCTATGATTGAATATATTTTTCTGGCCATTTTACCATATTTTTTCAAGTGTGGAGAGAAATATTGTATGATATTAATAACGATAACATTACCTGCTCCACCATTGGAGTAGCTGGAAGCTGCAGCTGCTCGATTGTCATGGATGCTGAGTTGCCTCGTCAGCTTGGAAAGGAGGGAGGACTGTTTCTGATAACGTTCTCTCCTCCGCTTCACATTCTGATCCTCCTGAAGGAGCTCTTCGATCTTTGCCATGCTTTGTGCACTGCCATTTTCCAAATTCATCAGTTTCAAGTAAACAGTTACAATAACACCTGCTGTCGAGCAGCATCACACGATTGGGTGCCTACAGAAAAGGAAACTAACCTGACAGAACTGTATAGCTTATTAAGCATGTCTTCTTTGGCCTTCTCAACTTGGCAAAGTACGACTGCCTGAAGCAATTTACGTACACCATAATTCATTCACAAGATAAAAAGTCAGATTCAAATTTATTTATATAAATATATAGATTATAGAAAATCTTCAGTAATATTGGACCTTTGGGACATTGGCAGCAAGACTGTTGAGAACAGCTTCAACATAACCACGCACTTCCTGAGACATCCATCGAAGTTCTTCTTCTGGATCCACGGGTCTTCTGGTCATTGTTTCCTACATGCATGAGACAATGAAACATGAGGCCAATGCTTGCTTGCTTAAAGAGTAAAATTTCCACATGCCAATTATATCATATCCACAAGAATTACTGAGATGGTAGAGAAAAACACGTAAAGCATGTACCTTATATATGAAAAGAAATAATAAAAAGAAACAAAAAAAAAAAAAAAA